CCGAGATATTAGAATGCTATATGGGATAGGATTGATTCAACTTACTACAGAAAATTCACCTTGAAAATACAGTTTTGCCACCCTGAAATTGTACTAGACAAAGTATAAAATGTAAATGGGTTAACAAGCATCTGTTTCTTTAGTATTGGACAAGCAAAGTATAGAAATGCAGTAAGCCTGTTGATGAAGACTAGTGTGGCAGACAGCAGCAACCTTAGGTATACCTTAGCCTCCCTGATAACTCATTGAAGACCACCAATCATGGCGCTTTGGTACTATAGCTGGTGTAGAAAAAGTTATCTTGTGTTCAAGTAAACACTGCCTAATTGTATATCACTACCAAAAATGTTTTTTCTTATTTTCTCATGTTGAGAAATATTTTCTTGCCAGGGGGATTTTCAAGAAAATTCAAGAACATTCTTCAAAGATTTTGTATCTTGATTCTTACACAAAGAATTTTATTCTTCTTTTTTCTTAAGAAAAGAAAATATTTCTACTATCATGCTTGCCATTTTCTTGCTTCAAGAACAATTACATGTAGCTCTTACTTCAAGAAATATTTCTTGTGGATAGAATCGTTTTCTTGCTACAGCAAAATCCCCGTAGCAAGAAAATTAAAAAAAAACACATGTTTCTTGAATTTTCTTGCTACGGGGATTCTTTAATTTCTTGTTCAAAGAATTATTTTCTTCCTACAAATACTATTATACAATCATTTTCTTTGTACACAAAAAAACAAGAAAAACAAGAAAAAGCATTTTTGGAAGTGTAATCTGTTGATCAGAAATTGCAAAACGACTTTAGATCTTTGACCAAGGTACCATGCTATGGATGTAAGACAAAATGATTGTCAAAGTTAGAAGTGTTAAAAACTAGTAAATTTAATCTTAAAAAAATTCCAAAAATAGTTTCATCGGGTTGGTAGAACATACTTTAGGTCGATATTGGGATTTTCTGTGATTTTGGTATTATAAGAGGGGGGGTACAAAGTAACGAACTCAAGTCAAGTTTGGAATTGTGTTCTTGCCGCAAAAGCGTCACCTACATCGGCTACATTTAGTGGCAAGAAGCAGAACTCCAGTCAGAGGCTCTGAGGAAGATGTCTTACAGACATCGAAATGTAAGCAAGTACTGGTTGTGCAAAAGAAAATCCTAATATTCAATAAAAAATGTTTTGTAGAGCTAAGGCCACACCAATTTAATTTCTTGGTTAACAGATTTTTCTAGAAAAATAATGGAGCGGTCGGGCGAAGAAAAAAAAACAAACAGGCCTAGGCATCCTATTATGGCCCAAAATGGTACGATAGGAGCCATGAAGTCAACACACCAGGCTGGTTCAAAATCTAAACAATGAATTTTGAACTTTTAATGATAACATTGCATTGAAAAGATGGAATAACTGTTAGTAGCAACTAGGTCAAAAAAGGACTGTTTTCAACTGTACAGGGTAAAATATGAGCATTTTGCAGTTGATTCTGAATTTTTATTTTTATTTGCAAATCAGAAAAAAATGAAGTGGGCGAATCCGTTAACCAAGAAATGAAATTGGTGTGGCCTAATACTATTGTTTGCTAATACATTGTTGGAAATCGCAGACAAGTAGACGTGCATGATGTAAATTAGCAGCAACAGTGAGATTAAAAACACAGCGCCATGATTGGTGATCTTCAATGCAACTGAAATGGACTCGGTTACTTCTTGACGGGTCTGACTTTCCAGGAGGAGACTAGGGATTGGAAGCTCTTTGACATTTCGTGCAGCTGTTTCAGTTTTTTCCTGTGAGTGACAAAAATCCCGTGAGTTGGAATGAAAATTAATGGTTCACACTGAAATATTATGTTCCACGACGAAAAACAATGTTAATGATTATGTTGGCGAGGGTTAGTACTTAATAGAGACATCTAGGTAAAAGTTGTCTCAGTTCATTTTAGTGACACTGAAGAGTAACGCATGTCACCCAATATTATACCCAATGTTATCCAGACTTAGTAGTTTGAATTGTTTTTGAAAATCATCAACTACTATGTAGAAGGCAGGGTTCTAGCCAGCTTAAATTTTTTTTCCATCAGCCCAGGTTCATGATCGGACCTGGGGGGAGAGTGCCTCTAGGGCTGGTGGCAATTTTTGAATTTCTAATCTAAGTCTTTAAAAATGCATTCCCAAAAGACATTCTTACATTTTGAGAGGCAAATAATTGTTGTTTGCGAGTGGTTGTTGGTTGAATGTTCTTAGGATGCGATATATGTTTTTTTACATTTTTACCCATAAGGTTTTTGTCAATTTTGTCTGCCAAGGTTGATGGATTGGTTTCAAATTTTTTTCCACCACAAGCCACAAACTTAGTGCAATTGGTGGAAAAACAGATGCTGGCTAGAGCCCTGGTAGGATAATAATTGTTACAGACAATGTGCCAGTTTGCATGGAGCAAAAAAAATGTATCCTACCAAAATAAATGCACAGTAAAGAGAGTTTTTGACCATGTACACACACAGGCCCCAAACCGGGAGCCGCGATTTTTTTATGGTACATATTGGATGTGCCACACAGAAATCGCTGTGTGGTGCCAATTTTTTTTACATTGTCAAAAAATCGGTCATACAACTCACACCATGCAGGGCCGCGCGTTGATCATTGTAGTTTTTTTCTTTTTTTTGTGCCGTGTAAACTGTTCCTTTCCTGGGTGTTGTGACATACTGTGGACAGTACATGTACATGTACACATACCCGTGTGATGACGCCCCCTTGTGTGAATGTGAGGAGCGAGCAGAGATGGGCCTGAGAGGAACACAGATGGCCGTCACCCGGTCATTGCTCAGGTCCTTCCACTCTTTAGACAGGAACGTCTCCATTATCCTGCAGTAGGGATAGTTCACAGTACAAATGTACAATACTTGTCAACAAAGCAGGTATACTTTCAGTTATTTCCGTTCAATAATATTTAATAATAATATTATGTATCAATCCTCTGTTACATAATATGTTACAATTTTCTTACAGGCTTTTACTTCCTCTGTTTATACAGTAGATGACTTTGATGTTTTTACCTCCATGAAAAATGGACGTATTGTTTTTGGCGCGTCTGTTTGTGTGTGTGTGTGTTTGTGTTTCCGCACATTTGTAGTCAGCATAACTTAATAACGCCTTTATGGATTGTGATGATATTTGGTATGCTGGTAAGTCTTAGGAAGACGAAGGTCAAGGTCAAATATGGGCCTCCTGGTGGATGACCTTGGTACTGCAGCAGAACCTCCGGTTTTTGTATCTTTTGTCCTGAACATGCTATGGTATTGACTTTTTGGTCTTGAACATCACGATACATATATTATGTTAATGCTGAGGTCATTTGCGTAATTAAAGAAGAAATTTACATTTACAAATCAAGCCCATATTTCATGGAGGTATGAGATCTTCGAACTCTTGTTGTATACTTTATCTCCATTATATAGAGTTTGGAACTCACTTTTGTATCTGCATTCCGAGTCCAAAAGTCTCTTTGTTAGAAGGCTGGAAAACCTCAACCTTGGGAGGCTCTGGACATGCAAAATAAGTGAGGTCAGTCTAGAAAATGTTATGTCACAAGGCATACAGTAAGGCATCCATGACATCGTTTTAAATGTTTTTTTTTTAATATTTGGGCCGTGATAATGTTTGATATACAGGTGTTCCAGCCCGTGTGATAACAAGGCATATCACACAGGGTTCTAACAATTATCAGACGGGCTTATAGATTTTCCAAAAAGAATTAGACCCTGTCGTGCATGCCCTATAGCTACACATGTACTTTCGAATACCAACTTTCAACATGTTACAATTTTTGTTCACGAAAAGAGTAGGGGACCTTTCCGGTTTGAGTGGTTCACACCTTACAGTCCAATCTTACGCAGCTTGTACATGTACGTACACAAAACTGGTGTGTTATGCCTAAAGGCGGTTTACTGGTTATCCAAAACAAACAAACAAATAAACAAACAAACAATTCTAGAGGAAGGCTGACTGACCGTTGGCATCCAGGTACTGACTGAAGGACAGATGAAGCCTGATGACTATAGGTTCCTGTCTGTTCACCTTCCAGGCCTTAGCTATCTCCTCCTGTAGGATCATGGGGACATCAACGGTTTGGAATTACGTCTTAGGCCACACCAATTTAATTTCTTGGTTAACGGATTTTTCTAGAAAAATAATGGAGCGGGTGGGCCAAAAAAAATAAAAAATAAAAACAGGCCTAGGCATCCTATTATGGCCCAAAATGGTACGATAGGGGCTAGCCATGAAGTCAACACACCAGACTGGTTCAAAAGTTAAACAATGAATTTTGAACTTTTAATGATTCCACTGCATTGAAAGATTAAAAATAACAGTAACAACTAGGAAGAAAAGGACTGTTTTCAACTGTTAAGGGCAAAATATGAGCATTTTGCAGTTGATTCTGAATTTTTATTTTTATTTGCAAATCAGAAAAAAATGAAGCGGGCGAATCCGTTAACCAAGAAATTAAATTGGAGTGGCCTTAGATACTGTAAATCTGTCTGCAGGGAGCAAATGCAAAAGTTGACGGTCTGAGAAAAATGGACATGCTCATGGAACTACGTTACAGTAACTGTATGCGCTCACAGTGGCAGCAGGTGCAGCAAAAAGAAAGTCGGCAAATTATTTGTTCACAGTAATGATGAGTTCGTGGTACAGAAATGGCCACAAAAATTGCAAGTATTAAACGTTTCGGTGACCGTCTGTCACCTTCCTCAGGGCAATTCTGACTGGTTCACATTGCACTGCAGCACAGGTGTCGCTGCTATAGATGTGGCACTTTTATATTCGCAGTTGCACGTACCACGAACTTACCGTGAACAAATAATTCACCAACTTTCTTTTTGCTGCTTTTTGAAGGATAGCTAAGAGTACATTGTACATAATGATTGTAAACTCTCATGCTAATTGTGGATCTAGTGGGATTAATAATCCTACTTGAATCTTTGAACCTCAACAGACTTAGATTAACTCACATCCAGGAATGACATGTCAATGTTCAGTTCTGCATCCACATCATCGATAGACGAGAATATTCTGGAATAAAAAGAAGAAAACACTAATGCAACTAGAAAGGCCGACATTTGCTTTGGAGCAAATGTAGCAGATGGCTTCACCACATCTTACAACATGGCAGGGAATGAAGGAGAAACACAAGGGAAAGCAATTCTTTACATTTCATACTATAATACTGTAGTACCAAGTAACAACAGTTGGATAGCTATCCCCTACATTATTGGTTAGGATTTTTAATTGCATGGGTTCAATCCACGTGAAAATTGCCACTTTTTCGCACCATTTTGCATTGCAAAATCCTTTACTCCTAAAAATTACTAAACATTTGAGAGGTTAAAGAAAGTCAAATTCTGTCTCTTGAGACTGATGGCTGACAGATAGACTTGAGCATGTGCAAAATTGAATTGAGACCAATTGTTTTGTGCCTGCTTATAGCACATGTTATACCGGTATCCCCCTTAAGGTCTCATTCATGAGTTTTTTTGATACATTAGAAACCATGCATTAATGAGTGACTTACCAGACCGTGTTCCCTATGATCCTACATTAAATCAATAATTGATATCTTTCATGCTATGTTGAGCACACTTACTCTACATCTCATAAAAAAATTGCCAACGACTTCTATACACACAATCCCCTTTTATGGGAATCACAAACTGCACTTAGCGGCTGTCCGCAAGAGGCCCTCCCGCGCTGCAAACCTACGACCGCACAACTCACAACAATGGACTGTGCACGTCCGACCTAGCGCGCGGCTGCCGACAATTACGTCCTAATTTCATCAGTTACAAACAAGCTTTCACCGCTTTGACGTTTTACATCAGTTGGGATGGCTAAAGGGAATATTCTCACCAATAAAAACACGCGTTCATACAGCCGTTTAGTTTTTGACTTGGTACTCTTTTAGGGGGTACACTCGGAGTAATACATGAATGAGACCATTATAGCAGTATATACAATGTAGTAAGTACCTTGTGTTGATAGCATGAGCTCCAAACCTCTGCTCGACTGACTTGATGTCATTGTCCAGTTGAGGGTGCATCCGTTCCTCCACCAAGTCATGAGCATCGTTGTAGTAATCATCAATGTCAACTTCAAGGTCATAGTCGTCAAGGTCATTGCCGCCTGAGTCCTGTGATGTGAAAAATACAAAGAAAATACCACAATCAAATTAAAAACAACACTAGAAAAGTAACATTTGCAAAGCAAATGCATAATGTTTACCTTCGCATATGGTCTGCTCTGTTAATTCTTACTCAAATACATTCATATATATGGTCAGACAGGAGTCTAAACCCCTCCTATAACATTGCAACATTATGTAACCCAACACCAGTTACCATGGTGACAGACATCAACAAATCAGGTCATTAGCCAGGTCAGAGGTTAGTGTTTGGAGAAGAAGAAGAGGAAGAGGAAACGTAGCAAAAACAATATGTTTTCCTTCGGTAAACATAATTAGGGGACTAAGATACAGTAGTTTTGAAACTTGCCCTCGGACCCCCCTAGATTGTGAGCACTCTCCCCCCAGGTCCGATCATATTACAAAGTAGTAGGACACAGTTTCCAGCCTATAGGGATTTCTATAGTTAAGAACCCCAAAGTGACCTACTTCAACGCAGTGAAAAATATAGTAGGGTGCAAAAGTAAGGTACAGAACTCAAATATGTTCAAGGTATAATGTGTACAAAATATGTGAAAATGGCTTAAGTTTGTCGGCTAGTTCACTCGTGACGCAATCTTTTAAAAGCACTATGCGGAAGGTCATGGAACTGCAGCAAGCACACAGCATTAGGCTGTGACAGTATCAAGGCGCAAATCTACGCTAACCGAACGAAGATCAAATTTCTCAACTTTTACAGTCTCAAACCTAACATATCACTTTCACCACAGTAGCTGCCTCACTGTCATACACAAACGAATCTCTGTGTATGTCAGTCTCAAGTATATGCTGACCTACTTTGTGCCCGTACTACTAGTACTTTTGACTACGGGGTTCACCCATAAATACTGTGTGCTGCGACCATAAACCTGGGCTGACAGAAAAAAGTTTTGAGCTAACTAGAGCCCTGTATCTAGCACGTCGGCAGAACGTACTGCACCTGCGCGAAACCCGTAATGTATTGTACATAGCACTTCGGCAGAATGTCTCATATAAGGTCGTATTCGCTCATATAAGGTTAGCATTTCGACAGTAGTTTCCAAATGTTGTGTCAGAAAAGATATCCTCTGCAACAGTGAAAATTCTGATGTAACGTTGACCAAAAATCCAACTAAAAACATGAAAATCCAGGGTTCTGCGCAGGCGCAGTACGTTCTGCCGACGTGCTCCTGTATCTATGCCATAGGAAGTTCGAACAACATCATTCACAAGCATTGCTGGTACTAACGTGTGTAAAGTACTCCTGTGAGTCCTCCTCATCTTCACTGCTGCCACTGCTGCTGCTGATCTCAGGAGGCTGAAGGTTAACCCGCTTCCACAGGTCTATACAACACAGGAAACCAGGGATTTCATGTAATGCCATACAAAAAAGAAACCTTAGAATAGCTGTATAAGTACGTAGAGTCACTGAATACTTTTAATTATCAACTACATGTATATAGTGTAGTGTAGTATGTAGAATAATTGTTACATTCTTGGCAAGTAACTTAGTCTACACTCTGTTTAGTAGTCATACATGTAGAACATGACTGTTTTGTATAGTCATGTATACTAGTTTTGTAGACTGTTTTGTAACTGCTCAATGTACCTTCATAAGTATAGTTTAGCATATATAATGTAGAACGTACATGTAGAGTTGAAATACTTTCTAGCCAGTAGTGCTTTATAACAATTTCTTGTGTTGGAAATTGCAGTTCAAACTTGTTTCATAATGACTCCTACCAACACAGGCGAACTAAGATTAGATAGCAGTACATGTATATTTAAAATAGTAAGTAAAAAAGAAAGAAAAACATCATCATGGTAGGAAATTTCTCTAACGTCTCCTAGTAGACATCAGTAAGAATGGCAACATTAGAATGAACTGACAAATAAAAGTACCTTCTGCAAGTCTGTTGAAGATTAAAGGGATTCTCTCATTGGTGGTGAAGGCATCTTCTGGCCGGTCTGAACAGGATACCAACGTGTGTTCTGTATAAAGAAATACATACAATTTACATTAAGGTACCTGGTATATACAGTGTAGTGGTATATGCTAGCATTCAATGTTCGTTGATCAAAAAAACAAAACATTCATTGACAATTAGTGTTCCATGATCTTGTACCTTCACCAAATAACTTAACATTTATGACTGAAAAATTATAAAATTAAATTTTGATGTTTCATGAACCTAGCATGTCCAGATCATGAGATATCAAAACCGGAAGTTCTGCTGCAGTACCATAACACAAAACCGCCAGGGGGCCAAAATCTAAATCATTTCTAGCTCTTATCAGACACACAGACACACACACAGACATACACACACACACACAACCTTTTTTGCAACTGAAAGAGGGACAAGTTCTATCATTGCTTACCGTTACCTTTGCTTTGTTCCATTGTCTTGTTCACTACTTTGTTACCCCTAGCATGTACTAGAGTAAAATGAGTATCAACCTCTTTCCTGTGTTTCCAGGAAAAGAACTGAAAAATGATTTTATTTATCAAGTACAGAGCTGCACTACTCATGTATTTTTAGAAACGTTCTAAAAATACTACACCTGATAAAAAATACATGACATTGTAGACATACATGTAACAAAACGCAGTAACGTTCTTTTAAAGGGGGCAAATGAAATTCATAAATCTGGTCTGGCAATGTCTTCCAAGACATTTTAATGTAAGGAAATTTTTAATAATTTTGAACAAGAAAATCTGTAAACTGATCGCATGTTTGTTTATCTATGCAGCCATGTAGCACATTGAATTGTCTGCAGCTCAAGGTATTTATGATTCATGCAACGTGCCGCTCAGAAGCTGCCTGGCAACAACCCTTTTGAACGTTTGGGTGCGTCAAATTACATCAGAACACTGGAATCTGTAGTGTGGCTGATGCATAATGCAGTAAATCCTGTGGATAATATGTAAGTAGAGCTATATTTGGCAGAAAATATCCAAAGGTTGTGCAAAATGCTCTGACTCTGAGGTACCAGTTTAAATTGCTTTAAGTTTAATTTGATACATGATTTAGACATTAATTACCTTAAAGTTAAACATAGAACAGAATTTAGACTGGAATTTTGAAGACGAGACTAATAGTAACACTGTTTATGACATCAAGGGTTACATAATATAATAACAATATGATACTAAATTGGTTTATTGATAGAAAATAGAAAATAGCACATATCAAAACCACATTGCAGCCAGCCTGCAACCAGTTAGAAAAGCTGGCTGAATTGTGTGATCTTGATATGGAATATGATCATTAGGATTATAAAGAATTAAGAATATTTTCTACCCTGTTTGCTACCATATGTGACCAGGAAAACTTGCAAAAATCAATATGGCTACACACATAAACTCATACATCACCTTAAAATTAATCACAATCATGCAGTTCATCATATTTATCCATTTAAAATCATATTCAGCACAATAGCAAGACCATTATGCTCCATAGCTGTTATAACAAACTTCTTGGTTGGCCACATTCCTTCCTGAGGGCACGGTCCACCCAACCTTGAAAATCAGGGACCAATCAACTGAAATGTTTAAAAAGGTTTTTCTTTTCCTGATTGCTGAGTCATGCTGTGCTAAGTCAGTCAGCCAATTTAGATTTGGCTCTTGTGGGCCTACAATTGGGAGAATTGTGGCAAAGTGTGTGGCAAATTGCCTTAGATCAAGGACATTATACAGAAGTGTCCTTGCTTTGATGTTAGAATTAGCTTACTTGGCTCGATCGCTGAACTGCTTACTAAGTACAAGAGGGCCTGCAAGCCCTTTTTCGTAAGGCATAATCAGGCCTTTTTAGACTTCGTAATTCGTAGGCAGCCTCCGCAAAAATCAACGTAATTCGTAATAGGACATTAGCCACAAATCGTAAAGTCGTAATTAGCTCTGAGACTTAAAAACGTAATTCGTAATTGGCAGCGAAAATTTTGCGTAATTCGTAATCACTACCCCCCATGCAGGCCCTCATATTATCAGTATCCGTGGGATAGAATTAATTCAACTTTAGTAGAATCTTACTGCATTAAAAAAAATTGACTTTGAAAATCCTGCTGTTTTGCCACCCTGAAATCGCATTTGGATGTGTTTGTTAAAATCTCACACTGAATCTTCTTACCTGGATAGTCTTCTGACAGGTGAATGGTGTAAGTTTTCCTGTGAGAAAACATGTACAGGACTGTGTGAGACAAGGTGAGAATAATGACATTGAAATGACATTGAAAACAAAAGTGTCCTCTTGCAAGTTTTACTTTCATTGTTAAACTGTATTGTATAAGTTGGACCCCTATATATATAGTATATAGATATTACTGAGGCCACACCAATTTAATTTCTTGGTTAACGGATTCGCCCGCTTCATTTTTCTCTGATTTGTAAATAAAAATAAAAATTCTGAATCAACTGCAAAATGCTCATGTTTTGCCCTGAACAGTTGAAAACAGTCCTTTCCTTCCTAGTTGTTACAGTTATTCCATCTTTCAATGCAATGGTATCATTAAAAGTTCAAAATTCATTGTTTACATGTTGAACCAGCCTGGTGTGTTGACTTCATGGCTCCTATCGTACCATTTTGGGCCATAATAGGATGCCTAGGCCTGTTTTTATTTTTATTTTATTTTTCGCCCGCCCGCTCCATTATTTTTCTAGAAAAATCCGTTAACCAAGAAATTAAATTGGTGTGGCCTGAAGTCTAAAAAAAACTATAATACCTACCTACGGACCCTAATTTTTTTAGGACTGAAACAGGGAAACACAACATTTTTTTTACTAGGCCTGACCACTTCCTGTATTTGGCTCATCTTACATGTCTTAATTACTAGCAGACCTGACACTCACATATGTCTACATGCCTGGCGGGCAACAACTGGAACAGTGTTGCTAAAAATAGCACGTCTCAGGTTCAACTGAAGCCATACGTACCCTTCATTGTTGTTGGAGTAGTTGAAGGTGATCAAGTTTTCTCCCTGCTCAAAATCTGAAAAGAAAGATATATAATATCACCTTGAACAAAGGTAACATAATTCAATTTCTTATACGCAACACAATCTACTACTAGTACTAGTAAGCCTGGGTGCCAGACTGTTGCCAAGAGCAAATACTGTAGGCTACTGTTGGCCCTGGAGTCCAGGAAATTTTACCATTCACCAATTTCACACTTCCCATAATGCCTAGTAACGGTCACAGATATGACGTAAGACCACCCTCTCCCCCTTCCTCGATGTAATATTTCCAACAAGTTCTATCGACAAACTGGTCAACTATTGTTTTGAATTATTTCTCTAGTATAAATCGCATGCCATAATTGCATTTCTGTTGGAATTAGAGAAAATAACCAGGGTTCGAAATACAAAGGTGCAATGTGCAAATTGCACGTAATTTTCAAGATTTGCACCTTAAAATATTTTGAATGTGCAATTTTGCACCTGGAAAATACCGATATATCATGTTTGCACTGCGTATCTCCGAAGTTTCTTGTTGTGTCGGCATCGCGCTGGGCGCATGGCAGCCATATTGTTTTCCTTAGTGAACATCCTGGGAACAAGCTGCTCTCGTCCCCAGGTGAAGACGCGAAGGCACTACGTAATGATTTACCAAATATGGCAAGACGCGAAGGCCTACGTAATGATTTACCAAATATGGTGAGACCCGCGAAACTTGTTGCCCGATGTGGTACGAAGTCCTTCGGCAGAGTAATTTCGGCTTTTCGTCCAATTTTCGGTGAAATTCGGTGAAAAACATTGTTTTCGGATTTCCCAGCATTCAGTGCTACCCAGGAAATTTGTAAAGCAGGAAAGAAGGGCCCATGAAGAAGGGGACGATTTTCAATTTCTTTTCACGGGCCCAGCCGGCATCAGAGGCTGGTGCAGCCGGTAGCGGTGGACCAGAGGCTGCTGCAGCCGGGGGCGGTGGATCGGGAGATGCCGCCGGATCCACCGTCTCCGAGGATCCCGCGGCCGCGGCCGATGTTGACGACGCGCCCCCAGAGGAGGGGGAGGGGAGCGCCAAGAAGCAAAAATTAACCGTACGTTTTTTTTCTAAGCAGTATTTTTTCCCTTATATCATGCACGATATTCAAGGTAAACAAATATGCAAAATAAATTAAACTTATTGCTCGCATACTGTTGGTAAATTTTCTTTTTGTGCCGTATGTGGAAGTTCCAACTGTAGTCTTCGTGACATGATACCCCGGTATGACGAGTGAGAGGGCCGGGAGTCACTGGCGGCGTCCTTTGAAGCTAATGCCGACAATTTTTTTTGTTGTGTGTGTGTTCTTTTTTTTTTAAATATAAAGATAATTTATTGTGGGTTTACATATTTTTTTGCAGGATCCCTCCGCTAAGCCACCTGGAAAAGAAATCGTATACAAGTTTCAAAACAGCTGGAAATCAGGGAGGCCTTGGCTGAGATATGACATTGTAAAGAAAAAAATGTTCTGTGACATTTGTATCCAGTATGACACTGTAAGCAAGAGAAATGTGTTTAAGGAGGGGTGCACAGAACTGCGTTTTCACTATGTCACCCGGCATGAAGCTCTACCCAGCCACACAAAGGCAGAAGAGAAAAAGAACGCGGCCACACTTCCTGTCAATGAACGCCCTATGGACAGAGCTATACAGAGGATGGAGCAGAAGGACATGGACAAAATGCAGGTTCTGTTTCGCACGGTATTCTACCTTGCAAAGAGAGGGCGTCCGTTTAATGATTTGAAGAGCATTATGGAACTTCAGAAACTAAATGGAACTGCACATGTTGGTGACACATATGCAAATGACAAGCAGGCCAAGACTTTCACTCACTTCATTTATGAAGATATGCGGCGAAAGTTGGTAGAAAAAGTCAGAAATTCAGAATGGCTTTCAATACTGACTGATGGGAGCACTGACAGAGGCCGTATTGAGGAGGAAGTTGTGCTTGTTAGATACCTGCTTGACAATGCTGAACCCGTGACAACATTTGTAGCATTGAAGTCTCTCCATCGAGGGGATGCAGCAAATATCACCGAGGCCATCAAAAAGTGCTAGAGCGTGACCTAGACCTGCAAGAAGAAACATGGACAAAGAAGCTACCTGCAGTTTGCATGGATGGAGCAGCAGTAAACTTCGGCTGCAGAGTAGGTGTCGTCACAAGGTTGCAGGAGAAGGTCCCATCTTTGATTCCAATCCACTGTTGTGCACACCGACTTGAATTGGTAGTGAAGGATATCCTAAAGAGGGTGCCATTCTTTCAAGTCGTAGAGGATCTGCTGATGTCTCTTTACAGGTTCTACCACTGGAGTCCACTGAACTGGGATGAGTTAAAGCGCATGGGCGAGGCATTCAACATCGTCATCCTCAAGCCGCCCAAAGCCAGCGGGACACGGTGGCTGCCTCATCACGAGAGGGCAGTAGTAGCAGTTACTAGGGACTTTCCTGCCTTAGTACAGCATTTGGGCGAAGTTGCTACACAAGCAACTGGAGAAAGGAAGCTAAAGGCTGCGGGACTCTACAAGGTCATAAGAACCTTGAAGTTTGCTTCCTTCTTAAACTTTCTAAGAGTCTTCATTCCATCAATGTCAGGTCTGTCGCATCTGTTTCAAGTGAATGACTCAACTGTGGAAATGGTGGCTACAAAGGTACAGGCCTTGGTAACACATTTCATCAAACTACAAACAGATGAGCAAAAGTTGTCATCAATTCTACACAAGGACCTCGTCATCAATGACGAGGAGGGTGTAGAGCAAGCAACATGGTTTGAAACACCACTTGTGGTGAAGAGCACCCTGAGGCATTCACCTTCCACCAGTGCTGGAGTCATGGAAGAAAGCATGAAAAATGCACAAGAAGTTTTAGGCCAGACAATTGGAAAACTGGGAGAGCGGTTTGATAGCTATATAGCCAACCCAGTTCTGAAAGCGGCCAACTGTTTTGACATGGGCAACTGGCCATCGGAAGATGATGATGATGACGACATGGAAGATTTTGGAGCATCACAAGTAGAAGCCATCTACAAACATTACAAACGTATTATGGACATGAAAGGTTTCTCACTGGAAACAGCGCAAGCCGAGTGGACAGAGCTGCAGGTAGTCCTGAAAAGGAAGTACCCAAACAGGGATAAGAAGTTTATTAAGCTGTGGCCAAGTGTCCTCAGGTCCTTCCAAGACACAGGTCGCTTTGATAACATCTTTTCCATCATCAGGCTCCTACTCATCATTCCAATCCACACATCTGAATGTGAAAGAACCTTTTCTCACATGAACTTTGTGAAAACAGACTGGAGGAGTCGCCTTCAGTCAAGTGCCCTGACATCCTTACTGATGATTAAGCTTTCTCCCACAACACTGGAGGCTTTCGATCCAACAAACAGCATCAGCCTGTGGTACGATGGTGGAAAGAGAAGGCCTGCCACACAGCCGTATGGGAGCAGGGCTGGAAGAAACGAGCATGAGTATGCTGAATCAGAAGTATCTGACGAAACGGAGGACTCAGATAATTGAGGCAAATAAACACAGATGATACTTGCATTGTTCATGTTTTGTTTTTAATGTGTACTAAATCTTCTATATGCAGTGGCAGGCTAAGAAGGTTAATACACAGTAAAACAGTTGCAAACCTAAAGATGCAAGGCTAAATATAATTTTGCACATAAATTTTTCAAATTGCACCTAAAAATTTTGCCAATGTGCAATTTTGCACGTACCTGAAAAAAAGTATTTCGAACCCTGCTATGTATGTATCATTTTGCCATACGTTGTACCCGCTACATCTGTTGCGCAATAAAGTTCTTCTATTTCCGCTTGTTCAATTGATTTCAATACGTTAGATCCTATAGATAAATGAAACTACATTCTCAGGGGAGATAACCAATACAGTGTTCAAATAGGAAAATACATTAAAGAATGTTTCGATCTTAGAAAACACATGTTAGAGAATAGTTAACCTTTATTGTTACATCATACATATACTCTGTACGTAAGTTGACGTTATCCACACATGTATTTAGCTTTGTTAGACCTTTAGTTAAGTTGTAGAAGACCATACAAAAGTCTCTGTACTTTTTTGTTGTGTCAATAAAGAATCTCTATTGTTATTTTCACAGAAAAGGGTACCTTTGAGAATCCCGTTTGATCCCCCCTCAGTGCAGATCTCAAGATGCCCTCCGTGATCCGACAGGAAGATCACCAGTGTTCTGTGCTGGATCTGTAGA